CCCCCCCCACTCCTGGTTTCTTGGCAATGCCTCAAAGTGTCTTTGGAGATGTCAATGCCAGTTGAGGATGTGGCTTACGTTTTTGTTTTTTTTAATAGTATTTTATTGAGATTTTAAGATTACAAAATTAAAAGTTAGAAATGAAAAAGAAAATTGAAAATACAAATTATAAAGAAAAGGAAAAGAAAAAGTGAGAAAAAGTAAAGAAAAGGAAAAAAGACATGAAAAATAAATAGCTTCCAATCTATCTCTGGTCTTAAGAATAATAAGAGTGTCATAAGTGCTAGTTTTTAATGCATTAAATAAGAATGATTCTTTGTCAAATTAAAAGTTAGAAATGAAAAAGAAAATTGAAAATACAAATTATAAAGAAAAGGAAAAGAAAAAGTGAGAAAAAGTAAAGAAAAGGAAAAAAGACATGAAAAATAAATAGCTTCCAATCTATCTCTGGTCTTAAGAATAATAAGAGTGTCATAAGTGCTAGTTTTTAATGCATTAAATAAGAATGATTCTTTGTCTAAATATATCCCATTACATTTATAATCTAATCTTCAAATCCCCATGCAAGCTTCACCCCACCTGCATTTTGCAAATAGTCCATCAATGGTTTCCATTCTTTAAGGTAGTAATTGTTTGAGTTTTCTTTTAATAAGCAAGTCAGTTTGTCGTTTTCTGCCATCTCTGGTCTTAAGAATAATAAGAGTGTCATAAGTGCTAGTTTTTAATGCATTAAATAAGAATGATTCTTTGTCTAAATATATCCCATTACATTTATAATCTAATCTTCAAATCCCCATGCAAGCTGCACCCCACCTGCATTTTGCAAATAGCCCATCAATGGTTTCCATTCTTTAAGGTAGTAATTGTTTGAGTTTTCTTTTAATAAGCAAGTCAGTTTGTCGTTTTCTGCCATGTCCATCGTTTTTAACACCCATTCTTGTATTGTGGGTAGTGTCTGGGTTTTCCAAAATTGTGCATACAGAAGTCTTGCTGCGGTAATCGTGTATTGAGTAATTCTAATAAGAGAGGACGCGGCTTATGTTTAGTGGTTGTTCACCTATCCTGGGAAATGGCTTTTCGCTGAGAATCTTCTGCTAACCGCCCGGGGCCACCAGAGCCCGTTTCTTCCATGCTCAGCTGCATGGGGGGGCCCAGCCAAAGGCAGAGCCTCTTCTCCACATGCAGAAAGCCCTGCCTGCTCGGAGGACCCAGGATCTGACGGCCAAAGGGAGTTTCCGATGGTCCTGGAAGCAGCTGGGCCTTTGGTGGCGCAGGTGCTGAGCGGGCAGGCCTGCCCTTGGCTTGGACTCGCTTCCTCACGTCTCTGGATTTTATTTCAGGGTCTGCTGGCGAGGACAGGAAACGGCCGGGGGTGCTGTGGTGGGACGTCATGAAGAAGCCATTGGACAAGGTACGGAGGAGGACAAGGGGGCCTGGGAGCTGGGGTGGCCGGGGAATTCTGGGAGTTGAAGTCCACACAACTTAAAGTGGCCAAGGTTGAGAAACTCTGTTCTAGGGAATGGTGGATGAAGCCCCCCTCAGCTCTGAAAGTTGGAGAATCCATAATTCCTCTAAGAAGGTCATTGGGAATGCTTTGTCCCCCTCCCCCTCCAAAATATCCTGTGCAACTTCAAGTCCAGGCAGTCTCTCCTGCACCCACTTCCCTCTCCCCACCCCCTGCACCCCTTGACGGCTGTAGCAAAAGTGGCACCGGTTCCTTTGTTATCCCCAAATAACATTCGGGGTCGTGGGCTCACTGTCTCAATGCCCCAGGTGGACTTTTTTCCCTTGGGCTGCTCCAGAGTTTCACGGGATCATCCTTCTGGATTTCCAATAAAAGGAAGGCAGGGCCGGGAAAGTGGCCTGGGGGCTGTTGGCCTGGGGGCTGGTTCCTTTGCTCAGGGTGCCCAGAGGCAGGGAATTCACACTGGTTTCCTTTGCTCTCCCCGAGCAGAGCTGGAAAGAGACTTCTTCTGCCAGACCTCCAGAGCCGTTCTTGGCTCCTGGACAAGCTGAAGGTTGGCATGACTTGGTTGGGTGGGGAAGGCACCATGGCTTACTCCCGCTCTTCTGCTGTCCCCTGCACAGGCCCCCGGGGACTCTCCCGAGCTCCAGAAGAAGGCCTTCGACCCAGTCTCCCTGGTTCTTGGCTTCGAGGCGGAGGAGAAGACTCTGCTGGCCAAGGAGGAGATGGCCCTGGCCAAGGGCTCCGAGGAGTCCATCTGTGCGTGCAACGCTTTGGACCACGGCTGCTTCCACCTGCTCCGAGAGACCTGCGTCTAGGGGCCGGCGGGCAGTCGGAGAGCAGAAGCTGCTTCGGGCATCCCCAGGCGGACGGGCAGCCTGACTGGTTGAACTGGGTCCTCCAAGGGATGGGCGCGAGGGTGGCCTCCCCAGGCAGACGGAGCCGCAAGTGCTTCGCCGGGGCTGTTTATCACCCCAATTTGCCTTGCGCCAGTAACTCCCGAGGGGGTGTTTCCAAAGGACATCGGTGTGGGCATGTCTGCGGGTAGAACACCCGTGCAGAAAAGAGGAAGAGGGGAGGCAGCCATTGCAAACGTTTCAATTATTCAGTCGGTTCAACGTGGATTCATAAATGCCCCTCCTTTAAACCTCCTTCTCAACCCAGACAGTCTTTTTCTCTGGTTCCTGGGGAGGAGAAACACCCTCCCCCCACACACACCGCCGCCTCCTTCCACGTCCACGTCCCAGCACTTCTGAACGGCAGCAGGCGGCACAGAGAGCCGAAGGCCTCCTTTGTTGCGCGCTTCTTGGGTTTCGTGGGTTTTCCAAGGAGGGCTGGGAGTTGCAGTCGGGAGACACGCTGGGCGTCCTCTTATCCAACGCTGGGCTTGGGGTAGGCAGAAGCATCCAGGGAGAACTTTGCACCCACGGGCGTTGCTGTTGGGGGCGTCACAAAGGAGCCAGGCCCAAATGCCTTCTGCCGATCTTTGATCCAGCTCGGCTTCAGGAAGGAATTGTTTCCTGGAGAAGATGCAGAAAGGGGTCTGCTGCCATTTCCCCAGGAGGACATTTGAGACCCTCTAGTGCAGTGCAAAGTGACAAGTGGGCGGAGGCGGGCAGAGGAGGTGCCCGAGCTGGGGAAAATCCCATGGCCTTGAAATGGCACGGGGGCAGTTCCAGGACAGACACCTGAAGGGGACACGTCTTCAGGAACCACAGAGATAAGATGTGCAATGTCCTCCCCTGAGGAGTAGCCACAGCCTAGCCACCAATGTGGATGGCTTTTAAAAGAGGGCGACCCAAGGCAGGGAGGAGGAGGAGGAGGAGGCCGCCTCTGTGGCTACTAGTCCCAGTGACCACAAGGCTCTCCAGCATACTTGATAAGAGTTGAACATCGCCCCTTGCCCTTCGGCCCTTGCTAAGCAGAAGAATGCAAGGACGGCCCTCCGGAATCCGGCCCACAGCCACCGTCCAGCAGTTTGTTCTCAAGTAGCCAGGAAGAGGCCCCTGGGGGCTCCCAAGCCGGGGGAGTTGGAGACCCCCTCCCTCCCTCCCGCCCTTGTCCCCCTGCTTTGCTCTCTGGGGTCCTGCTGCCCCGAGACTTCAAGGCCGGGAGCCCTCACCAGTCCTGTCCCCTTTGAAAGCCATGCTAGTTAGTGGCCATCTACTAACACTTCTTCTGGGAGTGAATCCCACCGGTTCCTTGTGCGCTGTGGAGTTCAGAGTGCTTCCTTCTGGCCGTTCAACTCTCCTTGC